TGAAAATCAGACATCCATGAGCTGAGACTCTCAAGTCATTTCTACCCATGGGGCTCCAGCCTTCTATGAAGGGCTTGGAGGACCTTGCTCCACCCTTTCTTAGGAGGTAAAACAGAAGCCAATTTCCTGACAGTTTCTTACTGAGAGAGTTCAGCCCTCTCCTTCTAGACCTTTCTTGGCAGCCACAATGTTAGTTTTGCAATGAAGAATGCCTCTCCTCAGTCATGAGACCAGTGTAAGGGTGAAAAATAACTGGTGACACCAAGAGAATGGAGCCCTTTTCCTCGACTTCTCTGTGGAACACCAGGTCGAAGTTTGTTCTTTTCTCTAAAAATAACTGTGTGTGCATGTAGGTGTCTTGTCAAGAGACACTTAATTTTCTCCTATGCTGGGGATGGAACCCAGGGCCTTGTGCATGTGAGCCCTCTATCACTTAACTCTTTCTCTCTCTCTCTAAGTTGCAGGGCCTTTACCACTGAGGTACATCCCCAGACCTTTTTATTTTATTTTGATACAAGATCTTGCTAAATTGTCCAGGCAAGCTTTAAACTTGTAATCCTCCTTCTTCAGCATCCCAAGCAGCTGGGATGCGCACCTAAATTGTGACATTCCCTCCATGCCTGTGAGGTAGGTGGGGCAGGGTTCCTTTCATCTTTCTCTTCCCAACAAAATTCTGAAGTCACAGCCATTTTGTCACATTTCACATAAGTTTACAAAAGCTGCAGGAGAATGAGCCATCTGCTCAAGGTCATAAGACTTGGGAGAGGCCAATTCAGTCTTGGGTTAGCTTGGCTGGAGAGTTAAGCTTTTAAGGACATTTTATGTGGACTTAGGTCTTGGGGGGGAAACTTGTTTTTATTCTTAGAGCTAAGATAACAGGTAATGCAAGAATGGGTCAGGCATGGTGACTGGCAGGCACAACTGCCCCCAGGTGAGGTTCACACCTCTGTGCCCTCCCATCGTGTCTGGTGGCCAGGTGGGTGACAGGCATCAACCAGCATGTAGTCTCTGCAGACCTCAGATGCTCCCTCCCACCATACCCCACCTCATCCTCCAGCCTCCTCCACCCACTGCTCACAAACCCTGCACAAGCCCATGACAAGAAGCAAATGTGCATGGACCAAGGGCACACCCCATGTGAAGTCACACCGGGGAAGCCCTTCCCCCTCCACTGGCCCCAGACACACCTACACCCACACTCTCCGCGTGGCTTTTCTTGTCAGGAAATCTTTGCATTCCCATGCTAGTACATTGGTATAATCCGCCCTCACCCCCTTTCCATCTGACCACACTGCCAGCTCTAAGGGGTGTCAGGAGGACCACAGGCTCGAGGTCCTTTCCTGACCACCCAGGCCCAGGTGCACTGTGCATCCACTCACCGCTTCCTCACCACCAGGCACCGCAGCCTGAGGAAGCCAAGAGGTGGGCTCAGCAGACCAGGGGGCCCAGCTGCATCCCTCCTCATGCCTGTCTAATCCACAGCAGCTCCTCAGACTCCAAGTACTGCTTAACACTCCTCCAGGCCTTCCCTTCACACCAGGAAAATCCCAGTCCTTAGGAGAGGGCATTCCGAGGTCACACCAGGGCTGGGCTTCCTGCTTCTCTTCCCCATAAGGGTGCTGGCCGGGGCACCTCTGACCCTGGACTCATTCATATTCCAGACTCAGCAGCCTCCTCTCAACCCAAGACACATCTGTTCCCTGCCTGCCTCCAAGAAATGCTGTCCCTCTCCACTCTGGGAGCTGCCTCCTCTTGCCCTTCAAGAACCAACTGACTGCCACCACCCCCGGCTGTCCCAGCAGTGGCCCTAACCCCTGCCCAGGTACACCCTCCACAGCTCTATCACCTGCACATCTACTTCACTGGCTCACTCTATTGCTTCATCAAACTCAAGCGCAAAAGATCCTGTCGGCTCACTGACAACCCCAGGGCCCAGGACAGAGCTGAAGTTAAGTATTTACAAAGTGAATGAGTAAGTGCACTGACATCCAGGTGAGTTAGCTCAGTTACTGCACCTCACTCTCTCCATCTTTACAATGGGGCCGTTGGTACAGTGGTGCACACCTGTGGTTCCCAGCACTTGGGAAACTGAGGCACAAGGATCACTTGAGCCTACGTATTTGAGGTCAACCTGGGTCACATAGCAAGAAACTGATTCAAGAAAAAGAGAAGAGAAAAAAGCAAAAGAAACCGGTGTGTGAGAATTGGACAGCTCATGGAGAGAACAGCTCTCCTTAGGGCCAGGAAGTGGTGCAGTCATGATGAATGAGCGCTTTTACACAAGGACAAGCATGGTTCAGCCTTCCACAGAAGAGGTAACTGCTTGATGGCAGTTTTGGTGCTGCAGATTGAACCCGGTACCCATGCAAACAAGACAAGTTCTACCATGGACTATATCCCCAGATCCTCTTTCTTCGGGACAAGGTCTTGTCAAATCGTCCAGACTGGCCTCAAACTTGCTACCCTGCTGCCTCAGCTTCCTGAGTAGCTGGATTATAGTTATCCCTAGTGCTCTTGAAGCATCAGTCACAGGTGGCCAGTGAGGGGAGAGGAAGACGGAACAGGTAGCACCAACAGCAACGCAGAGGCTGGGGTCTCTAAGTATCAGAGGACAGGAGGAAGGGTGAGCCTGAGAGCTGGGCGGCACTGCAGGGGAGATGGCCTCACCATTTCCCTTTAGTTCCAGCTAGGCCAGAGGGAGGCAGCTAAATCTGCCATCTTCCAAGGTGATCCCTGTGTAATGTCCATCCGTATGTAGGTAATGTGCCTCTGGGCTGCTTGAACTGTCAAGAGGGGAACGCTCAGGGCCAATGCTGGACCAATAAATCCCTGTGGCTTCCTCCCATCACAATACAGGGCCATCTCCTTAACTGTGTGGGGCCAAGGGGCCAGCACGCACACCCTCTCTGGGCCTATGCACAGATGCACAGTGAGGGGGAAGCCAGTTGAGCCCAAAGGGCATCGGGGCCTGCAAATCCATATAACCCAGGAATGGCATTGAGGAGGAGGGATAAGCAAACCCAGGCCGCGTGTGCCAGAAAGCACATGTCCCCTGCTAGGCACTCACGTTCAGGCACCGGGATGCCGCCTGCCCCATCTTTAACTGGTGTATGTTTGTAGAACATGAATATACCTGGAAAACACCCACCTGGGGGACTGAGTGTGGACCCACAACTCCCTAAACCCTTCCACTGTCTCCCCTGTCCCAAGTCCCTTGCCCATCTGCACAAAGCCTACTTCCCTGTTTCCTGTCATCTAACTTTTAGTTTGCTTTTAAAATTCTTTACAGTTGGGGAAAATAACCCAATAAATTATTTACATTTTGGGTTTCTGCCTATATGGGAACACATGTGCTATTTAAGTTCGAGTGTCGGGCTGTCCCATCTTTCAGGCAGAGCTGGGTCTCTGTATAGCGTAGTTATAACCAGGGCAGGAGCCTCATTTCAGGCCTGATTCAGGAGTGATTAAGCTGCTTTGTGATGGAGACTGCAGGTGCTGGGCTGGGGACAGAGGGAGACCATGTGGACTTGATTCTCTTCTGATACGTGACAGGACACTGGCCATGTTCCTCCCATTAGCTTATCTAATTGTTGCTGAGGACAGTTTAGTGTAGCGTGCTCGCCTGACATGTGCAAAGTCCTGGGTTCCATTTCAAGCAAAACACACACGCTGCCCATCCTTTAAAGCCAGCTCTGCTCAAGGGCCACTTCTTCCCTTAATCCTCCATACCCTGGTCTCTATTGTCTTTGTCCTCTGGTTGCTTTGAGGATGTGCCCATCCCACCTAACAGCTTCCCAACCTGGCTCCATAGTTAGACCATATGCTGTAAGTGTTAAGTATCACTATTGACATTTACTGACCACATGGATATGCTCAGTACCACTCTAGGTACTGCACATACACGAGGTAGGTTATTATTATACCATTTTGCAGATGGGGAAACTGAGGCACAAGGAATTTAAATAGCTTGCCCCCAAGTCCCTGAATTGATAGGCAAGCTAATTCCAAAGCTGTTGCTTCTAACACTACTTTGGAGAACCTCTCAGTACTGCTGTAAATGGAGGATTTCCAGGAGCACAGAGCTCACAGCAAACACCCAGAGGATTAATCTTTGATCCCTTTGCTGCAAGCTGCTAGTACTGTGGCTCCTGTCAGGGAAGCTAGGAAGCCAACATGCCAGGAGGTGGCAGCAGAGAGCCAGACACAGGCCCTCGGAGGAAGGTGCAGGGAGCTGCTTAGGAGCTGTGCAGATGCCTTAGACACTTCATAGGCCTCCTGGCTCCTCCTCTGCGCCCTTCCCACTCTGCTCAGAGGAAAGTGGGCTATGGCTCAGACAGGGCGTGATGTTTGCCGAGGTCAAGCAGCTAGAAATACCACACCTGGCAAGGGTCACTCTACTGTCCCTCCTTCATCCCAGAAGGCACAGAAATGACCTGGCCAGGAGCAAGTAGTCTACCAGGCGCCATCCCCTCGGTGGGGAGGGGCTGTGAGGACTCAGAGATCAGCATTCACCAAAAACGCCAGACCCACTTCCAGGCCCTCACCAGGGATGTGGAGGCTGCAGAATGAAAACAATTTGCCTTCCTCACTTTGATGGGAGCCAACGCCTCAGCCGCAGTCAGTAAGACAGCCAGCCATGGCTCCATGACCTCTGGAGACAGACAAGAACCATCTAAAGAGCTTTCACAGTGTGCCTTCCAACAACTGTCTCATCCACACTGAAGTCCCAGCCCCGGTGGGCCTGCCACTCATCAGTGGCTGCAGGGTGACTGGCCCACGCATGGCTCTGTCCCTAGGGCTCCCGTGTGGCCGATGGCTCAGTGTGGCAGTGCAGGGAGCACCAGGCTGTAAGCTTCAGAGTCTGGCGTGTTCTTGGCTTAGTCCACAGGGGCACTGGCTTTGGGATGCCCGGTGCTTCTCTGGCCATTGCATCCAGCCTGCCTCCCAGACTGCCCGGCTCCCCTTGTCCCTCCAGGGCTCACACAGCTAGACAGGTCCTCTGCACACGCACAACACCTTGGGTTTATTGGGGGAGGGGCAGAGCAGGCACAGGCAGCGTGCCTCTGGCAGAGTCACGCCAGCTCCACTCTGCTGTCTTGGCACTTCCAGGGGCTGCCCTGTGGGTCCCCTCCCATGTCCCCATTTCCTGCACACGTCTCTCCCCCCACCCTGCTCCCTGAGTCTCTCATTCCTTCACCAGCCGGTAGATATGGTGCTGAGCTCCGTGCTCACTGGCCGACACCTCAAAGACATATGCAATGCAGAGCAGGGTCTCCTGTGTGTCTCTGTTGGTGACCACCTGCAGGTGAGACAAAGACAAGGTGAAGCCCCTGAATGGGGGGTGCTTGGCGTGCCACCCCTGGGCCTGGGCTCACCCTGTGTGCACACCTGCAGGATGGTGAAGTTCTCCAGCACGCTGTTCATCATGTACTTCTCGGGCAGGTGCTTCAGCTTGTGGATGAAGTTGATCATGTACTCGCAGAGTGGTGAGCGGTGGATGCGGTATGAGTAGTGACCATTCTCATAGTGAGAGTACTCTGTCTGCAGACCCAGGGGACAGCGGGAGCTCAGAATCCCCTCATCTCCAGCCCAGGCCCAGCTCTGTGGGGAAGCTCCAGGACCAGGGCACTGTCACACAGGAAGAAAAGGCAGAAGCAGGAGGCCCAGGAGCACAGCCACCCTCTGAGGTGGGTGGATGGTAAACCAGGTCTCTCTCCTGTCAGTGATGGGCAGATGTTGGATATCAAGGGAGTAGAGCTTAGAGATGCAGCCATCGAGGCAATGGACGAGATGGGGCAGGTGCTTCTCAATTCTGGCTGTGCTTTAGGGCAGCATGGGCAGAGGCTGCCCCTGTGTACACACACACACACACACACACACACACACACACACACACTGGTAAAATCTGAACTAGACCAGTAAATTGCATTAAAGCAGATTTCCCAGTTGCTAATGTTCTCCACTTCTACAGGACACTGCCAGGGCAGGAGCACCATGGAGGGCACATGGAATTATGATTACAGTTCCACAAAAACATACGGGTAGATACATAGGTAAGTAATTTGAAGAGCTAGGTAAGGTATATGCTTAGTGTGCATGAGGTCTGAGTTCAACTCCAAGTACCAAAATAAAGAAGCAGAAGAAAACCTGCTGCTGCCTAGATTCCACCCATGAGACAGCAAAGCCGCTGGATGAGGTCAAGCACATCCAGGACATCCCTGGGAAACAGGAAGTCTCTTCTCTGGCACTGGCCAGTCCCTGGTTAGCAGGTGGACATGAGAGCTGGCCTTTGTTAATTCAGACCACTGTGGGGAAAGCAGCAAGGCCAGGGACACAGACCCGCAGTGTTCTGGGATGCAGGCACTTGGTCCCACATCCTTTCACTCTCCCTGCCCAGGGCACCAGAACAACAGAGCTCTCAGGAGCCCGTGTGAACAGGCAGTGAGGATCACTGGCTGCTCACTGAGTGACACAGAGGGTTTCTTTACACCCCTCAACGTTGCCCTTGGCCAGCACGCTCAGAGACTGCTAGAAACTGCTGCCGAGGAGGAACTGAATCTTTTTTTTTGTCTTTTTCCTTTTTATCAGTACTGGGGATCGAACTCACGACTGACTGCCTGCTTGCAAGGCAGGTGCTTACACCGCTGAGCTAAATCCCCAGCCCCAGAACTGAATCTTTTTTTTTTCACTTCTACTAGTGGGGACATAGTTTTGGGTACTCGTGGAGTTAAGCAGGAACAGGGAGCAGACATCCTGGAGATCTCTAGCTGTGCTGCCCCCAAAAAGCTCTGTGACCACGCTTGAAACCGTCTCTCTGGGTGGACTCAAGCTCAGCTCCCAGGCCGCCCATGCACCCACCCTGCTCTAGGAGAGGACGTGGGGAACACGTGAGTTAGTCAGGCCTGGTGCTCTTGCCAGAGGCTGAACAGTCAGAAGGCCTTTTCCTGAGTGTGCCTGGAAGTTGCCCTCTCCAACAGGGCTGCTTCGGGGATCCCCAAGTAGCCCCCACCCGCTCCCCAGCCAGCCTCGTACCTCCACTTTCTCTACCACCTGCTTGCCGAATGAGCACACCTTGGTGGAGCAGGTAATGATCATGTTCTCGGGACTCTCATACTGGCTGGAGACTCCATAGAAGGAGCTGCCTTCATCCTCGATGTTGGTGTTGAGATCTGCCTGTTAGGGAGGGGAACAGGAAGCTGAAGACGTGAGCAGCAGGACCTGCCTCAGAGGCGGGCTGAGAAGAAGCACATAGCAAGTGGCCCTCGGAGACTGGAGAGCTTCACTGCTCTCATCCTCACATCCAGGCTCTGTGTGAAGTCAGGCTGTGCCTCTGACACAACAGAAAAAGGGAATCCTAGTGCTGCTTCAGTTTCTGGCAACTACAGCCCGCTCCAGTGCCAACATCCCTAGCAAGCAGGCCTCTAGATCTTGAATTTTATAGTCTGGCTTTGTTGTGTTAAGCTGCAGATATGTTTAAGTCCCAATCAGTATGAATTCATCAGCTCTTTTGCAGAGTCGATTCTAATAATGAAGAAAGTGTGAGAGCAGAAAGGGAGTGGACAGAAAGAGTCCTGGGATCCCTCACTGTCCCTTCCTCCTACTAGCCCATCGCCAGACTCTGCTAGGGTTCTGACTGCGAAATTTGCTCACCCTTGATGTTTTCCCATCAGTCTCAGCCTCCAAACTACCTCCCCCATGCCTGTGCCAGTCTTCCCTCCCTCCCTCTGGGCCATGCTCTTAGTGGCTGTGTGAGTTCTTTGCAATACCCAAGTCTGACTGCAGCACTGTGTAGCCCCAACTGACTCACGGAGCCCTTCTGTCACAGGGACCTGAGTTCCAATGCCTGCCTGGCTCAAAGGGCCCTTCATCAGCCCTGCAGCTGGTCCTCTCCACCAGTTCCTTGCAGGCCCCAGATATGCTGCTTTCTTCTCCTGCTGCTGGATGTTCGACTGATCTGAAACTTACCTCCCTCTCAGCACAAGTAGAATAATGCTCTCAGTCCCACAAAAAGTACCCCAGCCTCAGTTATCACAGAAATGCATGAACTCAGGTCAGCCTTGCCCAAGGCCACACTGCTTAGAAGTGACAGACCCAGGTCTGTAGGCTCCAACCCCAATCTTGTTCCAACCCAGCAGAGGAAAGGCGCTGGGTGACCCAATTGGCTGCCCTGGGAACTCCCAGGGTGGAACTGCACTTCTGAAGCCCTCAGCCATTTGGAGATCCCATCCCCAGAAATTGGGCTGCACATCAAGTCACTCTGCATGTGCCAAGGTTTCTAACAGCAATTTAAAACTCAGAAAAATGCACACATAACAAAAGGCCGATTCTTAGGAAAGCCTCGCACCCACCCACACAAATGGTCTGAAATCACTACTGTGCTGACACCAAAGCACAGCCCTGTGAATGCAAGGGGACTGCAGGCTATGACCAACATTCTTTACACCAACAGCTCTCCTGCACGGAGGTGAGAGGGTTCCCAGAACCCCAAAAAGGTTGAGAGCCAGGCAAGACAGTTCTGCTGCTGGCCACTAGAGGGTGCACAAACGTCGTTTTGTGCTCCTTTTCAGTTTTTCAAGAACACCTTTCTGTACATAACGGGTTGGGCTGTTTTTATTTTATGGAACAACAGAAATATTATGTGGCCACATGAAATGCTAAAAAATCTGAATTTATCATTATGGGTTAATACCAACAGATGGGCCAGATGTGGTAGCACACACCTGTAATCCCAGCACTCGAGGCTGAAATTGGAAGATGGCTATAAAAGTTCAAGGCCAACCTGGCTACATATTGAGTTCCAGGCGAGTGTAAAGTACATAGTGAGACGCTGTCTTAAAAAACCAAAACAAACAAACAAACAAAAAAACCACCATACTGAATGAAGAAGGCAGGACAGGGAACAGAATGAGGGTGATAATTTTAGGATGTTTTTGTGTTGAAACAGGATCGCACATGGTTTGGTGTGCTCTGGATTGGCTTTAATGAAGCTGTGGGAAGGCAAGAAAAAGAGAATTGCGGCAGCATCCCAGCCAAAGCCCAGCCCTGGAGCAGTCATGTTTACCGCACCCACCACATCTACCCCAGGTTGGCCTGAGTTCCCCTCTGAGCCCATTGAGACTCTTCAAGGAGGATGTGGGGGATGAGTGGGGGACTCGGGTCCTGGCAGAGGTGGCTCAGGCCTTTGCTGAGTTGGAATCCACAGCAGCTATGGCCTAAGTTCTTGGAAAACAAAAGGCGAACCAGAATCTAGGCTTTCTGTCTGCTGGTTTCTGTTGGTCACGTGGTCCTCCTAGGTGACGTTTGTCAGACGTGGGGTTGGGAATAGTCTGGGTGCTCAGGAGAGGCTGCAGTCAGCGACACAGAACACAAACGTGGACAATGCCTGAACATGTGGGAGTAGGAGGCCTAGCTGTCTGGGAAGGCCCTGGACATGAGGGCATCAAGGCACAGGGCAGAGACACCTCATGAGAGGTGATGACTCTTAGGCTGTGGCCACTGTTGGTGCCAGACCAGCACTGCACTCACTGACTACACTAGTGTGTGCCATTTTTATTCCTTCATTCCAAGCTAAGTAACATATCCTTGAAAGTAAGGATTCTGTTTTTCCCAGTATAAGTGAGAAGAAGTGATTAAGAAAAACGTTCAAGCACAGCCACGTAGAAAGTCCTGCATGTTGAGACGACCCGGAGCCGGTCTTCCCTGGTTTCATCCCCTCACACAAGTCAGTACTGCCTCTGCTGTGGTGCAGTACCTGTGTGCCCCTCCCAACCTCCCATTTCATCACCCCATGCTCTGCTGTCCAGGTGGGACATTCGCGGAGGTAAGAGCCAGAATGTCCCCCAAGTCATGGGCAGCACCTACAAAAAAGGGCCCTTCAATAAGCACGCATGCGCTGTTCCATTCTCACCGCTGGGTAGCGATGTGTAGGGCCTGAACCTATGAATTTATATCCAGTCCTCGCTGCCCCAGCTCCACCCCCAGATCAAATATATTCTTCTGTACTCACCTCCCACTCCCTTGGTTCTTCCCATCCCTCAGTCACCAATTCATCCAGCCCCAGCCCAGCATGGATAGGGGCAGAGGGGGCAGAAAGAGGTCAAGGTATTGTTTCTGCACTCAAGGAATGTGTCACTAGGCGAGCAAACAGAGTTGGTGGGCTGGTGACAGGAGGAGGGAGAGATACCACAAGGGAGGGTCAGAGTCAGCCCAGAATCTGCCCTGGGTTGCTCCACAAACCCAGTTGATCCTGGGCAGTGTTGTGAGGCAGTGATGTGTTCTGCGTCCCAGAGCACATCATCCCATCCTGGGTACCCAACCTCCTAATGATACACCCCTGCCCAACCTGCACCCCCACCCTGTACCCCCTCTCCACACCTCTGCAACACACTCAGCTTTCTGGCCTTCTCAGCCAAAGTAGAGTCTGCTCCCACCCCCACATGCTGCCCTCTGAATGCCCCCTTCCCCTCCCTCCACCCTATTCATAGCTGTTCGGGAGTGGGCAGCCCTCAGGCCCAGCCTGAAACAGGTGTGGGGGATCGGGTGACTGACAGATGAGCCCAGACAGCTGCAGCTAGGGTGTGGGGGCCCCAGGGGCTCAGATTCATTGTCATGTGCTGGTATGTGCCTGGGAGAAATGTCAGGCCTGAAGGGCCCTACCCACAAGCTGGCGTAGCAGGAAGGCCTGGGGTGCGCTTTTGCCACCAGGGTTCTGCTCCGGCCTTGCCCAGCACCCAGTTAGTCCTGGGGCTGGAGCCCAGGACTTGGTGCATGCCAGATTCCAGGCAAAAGATCTACCCCTGAGTTACATCCCCAGCTCTTTCATTTTTATTTGTGACTAGTCTAGCTAAGTTGCCCAAGCTGGCCTTGAACTTGCAATTGTCCTGTCTTAGGCTCTGGAGTAGCTGTAGTTACAGGCACAAGCTATGACTGCCCAGCATTTTCAGTGTATAGATCGGTGCTGATGGTCCCTCATGTTTGAGAATCCCCTCTCCCACCCTAGAACAATGAGCTCTTGGGTCACATAGCTCAAGGGCACCAGAGAGTGGCAGCTGTCCCTGGCCCTGGGCTGCAGTACTTATGATCAGAGTCCGGCCTCATTAATTCAACCTCCCTGCTCCCAGTACACACTTCCAATAAAGACTTGCTTGGCAGGGTGGTAGTCTATGGATGGCTATCACGATCTGATCAATGAACAGTAACTTTCAGGGGGACAGAGGCAGAGGCCTGGTCTGAGTGCATGGAAGTAACCCGCTGCCCTCTGAGGGTTCTGACCAACCCTGCAGTCCCTAGGAGCCAGGACTCAGCAAACCTCAGGTAGGAGGGAAGGGGGCAGGGCCCTGACTGACCCAGATGCATGTTTCTCTTCCCCTTCACACTCTGTCTCCTCAGGTACCTGCAGGCCCTCCCCACATAATGACATGTGGCTGGTGGCAGCCAGGAGGGCACTGGTCTCTGACAGGCCCTCAAGTCTCCTTTCACATGGCCTCATTGTGCCCACGCTGTAGGCACTCAGAGAGGGGCTTGCTCTTGGGGACTCAGGGAAGCAGGCCAGGGCCTTCCACTTCACCACCAGCTCAGAGCCCCAGCCCTTGTGTGCCTCAAGGAAAGACAGTGACACAGGCACACAAAAGCTGAGATCCACCAGGACCCAGCTCTGAAATGGCCTGAATGAGCGGGCAGCTTGCCCTGCCTCATTCCCGCTTCATGGATACTGTGCCGGGACAGCTCTGGGAAGACCCAAGTGTGCTGGTTATGGACCAAGCATGGTCAAACAAAGTGCACCTACAGCACTGCCTAGTCAGCTTCCCCAGCACAGGTGTCTGTCCCGACCCTCTTGCTATGAATCTCCATCTGCGGCTTCCCTAGGGGAGAGGAGGACACGGCAGATGCCATGAAAGAGGCGGAAGGGGAAAAATTAGCTCCTCTTTCCTATCTGCTGTCTTCAGCAAGACAGCACCCTCCTCATTGTCCAGAAGTGCGAGATCCAGAACACACCAGGGAGCCCAGCTGCCCACATAGGATTTGGATGTGGGGTCAGGGCCATCTGCTGTCCCCATGAGCTCATCAGCAGACCAGAGACCTTTTCTGGATAACCTAGAACCTGCATGCCGCGCACAAGCACTGAGATTGCTCAGTGCAAGGCAGGATGGGTTAGTGTCACAGGTCCAGGGAGC